AGCCCGGCTCCGAAATCGGAAGGGCTTCCCTCGGTGTTGCTCCCCGCACCTCGCTCAGCCAGTGAGCGGGAACCGGTCTGTATGTGGGATCCAAACCCTCAGCGGGAGCGCCGCCGCGCTTCCCAAGTGGCGCACTGTAGCAGTGCGCCACCGGGCCGGCCCCATGTACTGAGGACTTTAACACATGATTGAGGGGAGGGTGGGCTATGTGCTAGCAGGGAGAAGGGCTACCCACCTGGAATCCACTCTTGGGAATCCAAGGCCAGAGATCTAACTTGCCCCTGGCACTTGGTTGAACATGGCTGAGCTGCTTTGTGTCAGACTCTCCAAGGGTGCAAGGAGTGGAGCCAGGCTCCCTTAGTAAGGACATGTGGAAAAATTAGTAGGAATGGGACATGGAATCAGTAGTCTCCTGACAAAGCCTTGAGAAGCCTGAAACATCCTACAGAAAATTGTAGCTGCAGCCAGGCTCCGGGGAGAGATGCCACAGAGTTCCACACACTCTGCAGCTCTAACGTGGGGTGACCACATCACTCCTCCACAGAAGCAGCAGCCCATTACTCCCTAGTATGATACACTCAACAAACATAGAATGAATATGTCCTGTTTACCAGGCACTATGCTGAAGAGACAGTGGTAAGCAAAACAGCCCTGGTCCCTGCCCTTAAAGAGATTAGAGTCATGCAGAGTAGACAACAACAGGCATGTCATTTTAACATGAAAAGGTGCTAGAAAGCAGGGTAGCCCAGTTCATTTGTTTACTTGTTTATTCATTCATTTTCATTTATTCAATAACTCTTTTATGAGCCCATATTACATGCAAGGCACTGGATTAGGCATCAGACAAGACCAACAGAATGAGAGAAGACAAACATCTCTGCCTTCATAGAATGGGGGAAGACAGGTGAGAATCAGATAAGTAAATAAATATGTAGTAGGGCCAACAGCATCAGTTGTGGAGGAGAAAAATTCAGCTGGTTGGAGGGAATGGAGTTTTGGAGAGGGGGAGTTATTTTGCAGGGGATGGCCAGGGAGCACTATCCTGGGAAAGTGTCACTTGAGCAAACACCTGAAAGAGGTGAAGGAGCAAGTTATGGGGACAGCTGCAGGAAAAACACTCCAGGAGAGAGGACAGCCAAAGAAAAGGTCCAGAGGCAGGTTCCTGCCTTGTGTATTTGAAGAACAGCAAGGAGGCCAGTATGGCAGAGTGAGCAAAGAGGAGAGTCATAGAACACAAGGACAGAGGGGGGCAGACAGCTGGGTCATGGGAGGCCTTGCAGCCATTGTAAGGGTTTGGCCTCTTCTCTGAGTGAGATGAGTAGGCTTTCGGGTTTTGAGTAGGAGAAGGACCTGAAGTATCCCAGTTATTCTTTATATCCTGGAACCTGCCAGTATCAGTTCATGACTCTGTCTACTTGCTGTCTCCCACCATTGTAGACTCTAGAGTCTGTCTACTTCCTAACTCCTACCTGCTATCAACTCTGGATTCTACTTCCTACTCCCTGACTATCGAGCCCTGACTATCTAGCTCCTAGCTCCCACCACTCCTCACCTCACCTGTTTCCTAGTTCCTGCCACTATCCATTCTGACTTAATTTACTTCTTAATTCCTGCCACCACCAATCTCTGACTGTCTACTTCCTAACTCCCACCCCTAACATTCCTAATCCTTTCTACTTCCTCACTTCTTCCACTATCAATCCTAATTCCTCTACTCTCCACTCAACCTCGTGATTTGTGCTTACTTATGGCTTCCACTATCTCATGGCTCCTGCCCACTGCTTTCTCTGCTGTCTCTCAGCTTCTGGGCACCTTATTCTAGGGGTCCCTTTCTATATGTCTCATATTCCAAGTACACCAAACTCAGACTCAGAATCTTACAGGTTGACTAAACACTTTCCAGTCTAGCACACCCTTACAGCAGATCTCCTACAGCAAGCTGGCCACCTACTCAGCCACTGGACAAAGAGAGATGCCTCTGGCTCAGGCATGGGACATGACTGAGTAAGTGTGGTCACAAGACTCCCGCACAACAGTCTTTGCTTGAAGAACTGCTCGGTCAGCTGCTTAGAAATGACTGTGGGCACTGCAGGTACCTATATTGTCATGTCCAGAGCAGTGGTACCAGACCTAGTTCTCTTCCTTCACAAGCAGCTGTTCTCATTACTTCCCTAGGATTCTAATGGTATCTAGAAGCATCCCTTCCACCCATACGGCAAAAATATCTCCCCCCTACACACTGGTCTGTCACTGAGACTGAAAAGCTACTATTAGAGTTCACCTCTTTGAAATGAGGCCTTGCCATTTTAAGATCCTAATTTGAGATGTACCCACTCAAAAAAATAAAAACAAACCCCATCAAGTCTTCAAAGAGTCCAATCTCAACCCCTAACACATCTGAGATAATAACTCTATAAAGCAGAATGAGAACAACGATTACCTAAATCAACAAGGACACAAAAGCAGGGAAAATCTGAAGTCCCCTGGGGAAAATCCTGCTGTCTTAACTGTTCCACCCTGGGCCAACAGCAGTCATCATTCTGTGTTCTCAAGTTCACCTTCCGTCAATCATGTATTGATCCCCTCTCATGTGCTGGGCATTATTGGGGCAGATTGCTGAGGGGGGCTGTGCTGCTAGAAAAATCTCATGGGGCATCAGTAGCAGCCACTTAGAAGATGAGCAGAATTTTAAGATTCCCACTGACTCTTCTTCCTCTTGTCATCTAACATGTTTGGAATTTTCTTGCACATTGCCTCGGGTCTAGTAAAACTGAGGAGTTCAGGACCTTGATTACAAAGCCTGAGCTTTCTGCTTGCATGGCCGTTTCCTTGCTTGGACAGATGAATCCAGTTTGCCATTAGAAAACGTGCATTCTCCTTGCTGGGTAGATGATGGCTAATGCCACACAGCAGCTCTTAATAGGGCAGCCAGCCCATGCTTCATGAAAACCTCCCCTGCAGGGCTCGATCAAAGACTGAGACATCTAAGCCCTGAGTATTTCCCCCTGAGGTACAGCACAAAAGGTGATGTATGTGCCTGCTATCTCATAAAGCAAGTCGTTATTTCACTTCTGCTAAGTGGAGAGAGGTAGAGGGAAAGAGAGAGAATGAAAGAAAGGAATTAGGAGAGGGGAGAGAGACAAATGCTAATGAATGGTATGACAGGTACAAGGAGTTATACTCAACCTTGAAAAGAATAATGGGGTGCATACGAGAAAAAAATACAGAATGGCTTTTTTGAATTCAGATCGTAATGAGAGTAACTGAAATGGAGAATTAGGGGGAAAGCAAGTCGTAGAAAAGATTCCTCAGAACCTAGAATAATACTATCGTTGAGGGGTGGTTCCGTTCTCTGAATAAAATGCATAAAGTAAATAAATAAAAAGCCTTTTTCCCCTTTATTGTTCAGGGACATTTCTTCTACAAAATTGCAAGCCCTGCCAAGCTATGGGCTGGAGTCCATTCAGACGCTAATTGCCACATCATCGTACTCTCTGAAAAAATTGCCATCAAGAGAAAAATTTACCAATCTCCTGGATGCCACATTGACTTACCCCAGCCACTGCTGTGCTTTTAGAAACTTGCCAACAAAAGAGTAAGTAAAAAACAAAAGGTAAAGCCTGCCAAGCTGTGGCAGAAACTCAGATTTCAAAGTAGTCAGCTGGCTGACAGCTCCCTGCCCCTTCCCACCCTGCCTTCTCGGCCAACTCCATAGCCACACAAGGTCACTTTCAGATAGACAAGAAGAAAATGAACTGTCCTGTTTCTTCATGAAAACTGCTGCCAAATAGTTGATTCACCCTGAAGCTAGAAGATGTTCGGAGCCAATTCTGGGCTAATTGAATTATAGCCTATTTCAGCAATTGTAAAATGGAGTACAAAACTGGCATCTCAAAGATCAATTAGTTCTAATCCTTATCAGAGAACATCATTTTTAAAGTAGGAGAAGTACACTCAGGAAGGTAACATTTACTTAATGTCTAATCGTTAATTTAAAAAATAGAGACAAAATAGTATAGAAGGGTTCTTTAAAGCTATTTCTCTCCCAGTAGAAGAGCATCTTCCATTTCAGAACAGAATCCCAACTCCCTAAGGATTAGCTTAGAATGGGAACAGAAAGGGCACGAGCTCCCGGCTGGTTTGTGTCCAGTGGAGGACATCTTACTGATTCACTTCAATACAGAATGGGTGGCAGGATTTTATTCTTTCCTTAGAGCATTGTTTTCCAAACATTTTTGACTGGACACATAGTAAGTTATACCTTTTTTATGTTGCAACACAGTACACACAGAAGTACCCTCGTATGCAATTAAAACAAAGCCGTACTTAACTTTTAATATGTGATGTAGTCTGATATTTGTGTTATTTTACTCTATTTTATTTCATGTTTGTTTTTAATGCCTACCTTGATGCACTCTGTTTTCACAACCCACTAATGGATCACAACTCACAGTTGGAAAAACACTGCCCTAAAAAGTTATTATTGGAGCCTACGGAGATATTCTCAATCAATTAGATAAGGTACCAAGAGAGTGACACTAGGTTGCTGCTGTCTTTGTTTGAAACTAACCTATTTATAATTAATCAACCAGCATGTATTATTTCTGCCCTGCACAGGTAGATTGGGTTCTACCTGAAGCTTTCAGGGAAGCTGCGAAGACAAAACACTTGCTGTGTTCAGATAGTTATGCACCATTCACTGAGCTTTATAGAACGTTAATTGAGCATTTGCCATGTTCCAAACACTGTGCAAAAGTCTGAAGATAGATAGATGAGTAAGAGCTCATCCCAACCCTCACAGAGTCACAGACAGATGTGGGGGCAACACACAAGACAGTTGATATTTAAGTCGAATACAGAAAATGTTATGACAGAGCAGAGAACAAAATAGAATGCTCTGGGAACATAGAGGAAGAGTTTCTAAATGGCAGCCAGGCTTATGGAAAGCTTCCTGAGAGAAGTGACTTATGCTAAGTCTTAAAGAACAGGTAGGAGCTGGCTAGACAAGTGTGGGGGAAAGCATGCCAAGATGACAGAATGGCTCATGTGAAGGCACAAAAGCATGAGAAAGTGAATGAAAGTCATTCAGAAAAGCTAGAGCAAGGAGACTTACGGGTGCATGGGGGAAGAGGAGTCAGGAGAGGAACCCAAGGAGAGGTGGGCCCTAATGGGCTCTGAGTGCCAGGCCAAGTTGTTTAGAGCATGGAGAGCCAGGAAGAATTTAAAGCAAGATTACTCAAATTTGCTTTTATAAAATATCACTCTGGCAGCAGGGTGGAGGACGGGCTGGAGGTGAGTAAATCTGGTGAGGGACCAATTAAAAGAACAATACAGATGCTGGTTTATAATAAAGCTGATTCTGGATACCTACACTTTTGTGGCAAAGAGATCACATACCTTCTGAAATTAATGACACGTAAAAACTTTAATTCAGGGTTTTTTATTCCAGTAGATGAAAGAGACTACCTCAGGTAGGGAGGGAAAAAAAGGACGATGCAAGCACGGAACAGTATCAGGATGAGATGAGAATGTTACATGGAGGTTGTCTTGATTGGAATTACAAGCTTTACCTGACTCCCTCTGTAACCCTAAAGCTCGAAGCCTTGGATGCCGGTGAGGATGGAGAGCCTGAAGTTGGCCCTGTGGAATGTCTATGAAAACTCTGAGTCACCCCCTGCCTGGATAACACACACAGCTGCCTGGGCAGATGGCCCCTAAGACTTCCTTAGTATCTATGATAAAATTTCAAAAAAGAGTAAACAGCACCCAGTACTATCATCTGAAGGCCAATAATACCCACATTTTCCTGTTAATTATGGATTTGTTCACACACAATAACTCTAAGTGACAGATACAGATACAGAGCCAGCATCACAGACACATACACACATGCTATTTGATCCAAGTGTGAGAATTTACAATCCTGACCCAAAACAAGCTGATTAATTTCTGAATGTAAGTCAAGTAAGCCAAATAATTCTGACATATTCTCCACCTTCCTGCCTTTTTACAAAGTTATTCCTACAAGGAATTGTCTCAATATTGGAGAAGAACAATACATAGAAACATCCAGTTGGAACTGCCTCATTGCCCCTTCCTCATCAGTAAAGGTTGAGGCACTCATAGCCTGCTCTACTTTTCCCTATTTCTTCATTCATTTCTGCACCTCTCTTAGGTTTTTAACCCTAGGTAAGTACAGTAGTCCCCCTTTATCCACAGGGTATATGTTCTGAGACCACGAAAGAATTCCTGAAACCGTGTATAGTACCCAACCATATATATATTATGTTTTTTCCTATACATACATAACCATGATAAAGTTTAATTTATAAATTAGACACAGTAAGAAATTAACAATAATAAAATAGAACAACTATAACAATATCCTGTAACAAAAGTTACAAGAATGAGCTTGCCTTCTCTCTATCAGAACACGTTTGTTTTCTGTGCATGTCTCCACCTACAAATTTAATGCCTTTTCCATCTTAACTAAGCACTTATCACACACTGTGGCCATAGCTTTTGCAGTTTGAGGTGTGGCAGCAAAACTGGCACAAATTTCTTTTTCCTTCTTCACAATTTCGTGGATAGAAGACTCATTCATACTATACATCTTAGCAACCTCAGCATACAATTTTTTTCTTTCCTTTTTAAATTGAGAACTTTTACCTTTTCACTTAAAGGAAACACTTTACAGCTTCTCTCTGGCATACCTGAATTGCCAGCATCACTAGTCTTGCTCTTGTAAAATAAGGGTTGCTTGAACACAAGCACTGTGATATGGTGACAGTGGATCTGACAACCGCTACTAAGTGACTCATAGGCAGGTAGTGCGTATACAGAGTGTACACCCTGGACAAAGGGATGATTCATGTCCCAGGCAGGACAGAGCAGTACAGTGGAGATTTCATCACACCGTTCAGAATGGCACACAATTTAAAACTTATGAATTGTTTATTTCTGGAATTTTCGAACCACAGTTGACCACAGATAGCAGAAACCGCGGGTAAGGCAGGACCACTGTATTCCCCTAGGTAAGTACAGGCCTTCTTTTATTTTCTTGGCAGTTCCCCCTTTCCACAGGCTAAACTTCTTAGAATGAAAGACAGGAGTAGGGAGCACCCACGTATGTTTCTGCACATAAGAGAAAAAGCTAAAAATTCACATCATAATGTCAGGTCCAGCATCTTCAAATCCTTACAAAAGAGATTTCCAGTTATAATTCAAAGCCGTGACTCCAAATGGTTATTTGTTAATCAAGGCCGATGTGGAAAGAAGAGTGGTAAGCAAACCTTAATACACCGTAAATGTAGCTTTTAATAAGCACTGAAAAATCCATGATTCAGTATGACAAATTCAAATTTTTCATCCCTAGAGCCCACACAAAACACTCAATACTCAGAAGCATTTTATCTAAGCTGGAAGCACTCTAATGACAACTCAGAAGCCTTTACTCTCTCCTCAGGAAGCATTTCAGTTAGGACAATGGTGCAGAACACAATACAGGTGTAAAGAATTTAGATGAACAAAGCATAGACATGATCAGGTTTAGTTTAAAGACCAAAAGCTCAACTTTTTTTTTTTACCTCTTGTCTTTCAGACAGAATTTTTCATTTTCCATTTTTGAAAATTTTTCCAAACAATGTGAAAGCACAGTAAGGAAACCAAATAATGAAACACTGTAAGTATTTGCATGCGAAGAAACTCAGGAAATCATATCTTGTTCTGTGTGCACCTTATTATTATCAGTGCCAACGATTTACTTTTGATAAAAGTCTTGGTTGGGGGGGATGTTTGCAAAGTATTTTTGACAGTTGTTTTTATTGAAAGATAATTGATTATATATATTTGTGGGGTACAGAGTCAAATATCAATACATGTGTACAATATGGGATGATCAAATCAGGATAATTAGTATACTTGTGTTTACAAAACGTAATCAATCTTTGTAACCCTTAACTAGTTTCTCACCAACCACCCTCCTCCTCCCACTCTTCACCTCAAATAACCACAGTCTGTTCTCTTTTTTTTTTTAAGTTTAATGTATTATTGTGATTGTTTCTTTCTTACTTACTTTCTTTATTTTAGCTCCCACTTATGAGTGAGGACATGCAGTATTTCTCTTTCTGTGCCTGGCTTATTTCACTTAACATAATTTTCTCTAAGTTCATCCATGTTGCTGTGAATGGCAGAATTTCATTCTTTTTTTATGGCAGAGTAGTATTCCATTGAGTATATATACCACATTTTCCTTATCCAGTCATCTGTCAATGGACATTTAGGTTCATTCCAACTCTTGGTTGTTGCAAATAGAGGTGCAATAAACATGGGAGGGCAGGTATTCCTTTGACATGATGATTTCCATTCCTTTGGGTATATACCTAGCAATGGGATTGCTGGGTCATATGGCAGTTCTATCTGTAGTTGTTTGAGGAACCTCCATACTGTTTTCTATAATGGCTCCACTAATTTACAGTCCCACCAACAGTTCAGGAGGGTTGCCCTTTCTCCACATCCTCACCAGCATTTATTCTCTGTCTATTTTATAATAGCCAGTCTAACTGGGGTGAGATGGTATCTCAGTGTGGTTTTGATTTGCATTTCCCTGATGCTAAGTGATGTTGAACGTTTTTCATGTGTCTGTTGGCCACTGCAAAGTATTTTTTAATAGTTTTAAAAAGGAGAATTTTTTTTTCTTTGCAAGTGGGATCTAGTTAATTAGGTCTATTTCCACTGTTTAAAAAAACTCTTTAAAGACAGTATGTAAATGTTCATTCTACAATTATACTGAACTCTCCTCAAAAATTAAAATTTTATTTGCAAATATTTTGATATGTCACTAATGGCTCCTATAAATGATAGCTTATTCTGCAGGAATTTTCACTAGTCACGTGGTCAGCATTCCACAAGGATTAACCCATTGCAGACAAAGCTTCTGGAAGTAGCCACTTCACTTCAGACTTGGGCTATATTGACCTCTATGCTCCTGAGCTTAAAATTAGTCTAAACACTATCACTAACATACACTGGAAGCGAGCTACATTTCTATTCTACTAATTTTTAACATTTTTCTTGCTACAAATGCTGGCTGCCTTGGCATTTCAGTTACCTTCACCTGTAAAAGAGCATGCCTCAAAAGATAATCCCAGTGTCCCTGTGCCACATTTACTGAGACTTAGAAATTTTATTTCTACCGCCCTTTTGTCCTTCAGACTACAAAACCAGATGCCCTTCCAATCTCATTTTTATTTTCTCTTCTTTCTCCTATCTCCAAGTTCTATAAAGGCAGCAGGGTGGCATGGTGAAAGGGCCCTGGGCTTTGGGGTTCCTCAGAGTTGCATATGAATCCTTGGCAGCAACGCTTGTGTAACACTGGGTATCACTGCACAGTACCTATACTGTTTGAGATTTTTTTCCTCATCTGTAAGGAACAGCACAAATATCATATGGCCTTCAGAACCATGAGAGTGAAGGGAGCTGTTAAAGAATGTGCTAGCACGTGGGGTAGGTTCGTATTGTTCTGTCTTCTTCTTTTCCTTTCCTTTCCTTTCCTTTCGGTCCCAACACCATCTGTCTTCCAGTGTTGCTTCTCCTCACCCTTCCCACTCTTCTCTCAGTATTTTGTCAGTCACTTTCCACATAACTCTTTTGCAATCATATGGCTTCTCATCAACAGGAAACCATTTCTGGGTACAGTCAATGGTAGCACCAAGGGGTGGTTTGTGGGGAGGGGAGACTTTAACACACCCTCGATAATCCTCATCAGCCCCCTCCCCACGCCTTCCCAAATGAGCATACAACCTTGAGTTTGCTATACTTACACTGCTTTAAGACAAGTCCCCTAACCTCCAGCATCTCCAAAACTACCTGAAGATAATACACAATCTAAGTAAAAAGGATGTGCTCCCCATGAAAACATTTTTTATGATAAGTCCCCTGTCTCCCACTTCCCACCACATAGCCATTCCCGAGTCCCTGGAGTTTAGAAAGTGAAGAGCCAGCCACTCAGCCTTACCTGTTCTCCCCAAAGTAACACGGTGTCCTCACTGCTACGTTTGGCCCCACTGTCCTCCTAAAATTCCTATCTTTCTCCTTTCTGATGACTGGAGCAGTAGTGCTATAGCTCCTCCTTCCTCTAACTCAATATTACTAAACCCACGTGAGTCCACTCATACTCCCCATCATAGCCTCCAGTACTAAAGACAGCCCTATGCTGGGCTTTGTCAATAAGCACGACGCGCCCTCAGGAGCCATCCCAGGACACAAAAGTAAGTAGCAGCAGGTAGGTATTTGGTCTGAAGACAAATCACCAAGGAGAAAAAATGCTAGACATATGCCAGTAGGGCAAAAGAAAAAAGGGCAAAGAACAGGGGGAGAGGAGGGACCCCTCTTATTGATATAAATTTACTCAAGAAACCATGGCAGAATTTTTAGAAGTTTTAAATTAGTACTTCTAGCAGTTGAAGTAGTTTTGATGGGGGAAAGGAGTAAAGGAAATCAGCAATAGTTGGGAAGTTATTACTTGATTTCATAAAGGTTATTATTTTGTATGAATCATAGAACTTACTGAAAATGCAGATACCTGGGCTCTGTCCCTAGAGATTTTGATTCAGGGTTTGGGGTAAAGACAGGAACCTGCATTTTAACAAACTCCCTGGTGACTGTGATGGACTTGGTCAAAGGACCTCATTTTGAAAAAAACTCACTGAGATAGTGAAGTAGAAGGCCTCTGGACTGTGGATATGAAGACCCCATGCTGCCACTGTCCCCTGAAGGACCCTGGGCAAGGGTCCTTTAATCACTTACCTCCTTTAATCTTGGTTCCTTTACTAATAAAATGAGTGGGTTCAATGACATGGTTTTTAAGGACCTTTGTAATGCTAAGAAATAATTTTAATAGTTCTTTATAACCGTCTTCTCTCTTTAAAGATTAAAACAATAGGTAATTATATCGATGTCTGTGAAATGAAGACAAACAAATGTGCTGCTTATGAAGATATTTAATAATAAAACAGATGAGGTCCCTATGCAGTTTTCTGTACATAATAGCCCTTCTCTAGTTCCAAATTGGTCTCTACGATATTCTAACACATTTTTTGGAGTCCTGGGTCATAAATTCTTTCTTTTTTAAAACTTGTGTTCTTTCCCTTCAGTATTATATTCCTCAAATATATTATTTCATCCATTCACTGAATTAGGTACACACTTACAAATACAGAACATGAGAAGTTAACTTTTGAGAGAAGAAAAAAACACTCACATTATGTGAGGAACCCTAGGGTGAAATACACATTTGTAATGGCCTTGACAGAAAAGTTGTGCCCATTTCTCCAGCTTCCAAGATATTGGCGAGATGTGGGCAAAGAGAAAATTTGTTGAGCCTACATGCATCGTGCTGTGTACACTTACTGTCCCTGTATCCTCTCCTTTCGGAGCCAGGATCATCCTGATTTAGATTTATTCACTCCACAAACATTTATTGAGTGAACATTCTGAGCCAAAACTGTGTTAGGCACTGGGATTTCATAAATAAGACCTAGTCCCCTGCCTTCAAGAAGTTTATAGACTATTAAAGAAGACAGATATGCTTCCTCACTTCATTGCAATATATTTTGATAATTGCAGTAGTACTTAGTGCAGCCCTTGGCAGAGAGAAAGGATAATAAACTCCTTGGGGAGCAGAATCAAGAAAAGCTTGATGGAAGAGTTTGTCATTAAGGATAAGGAGGAATTCATGAGAAAGACGAGGAAAGGAAGGGAATTCTAGGCAGAAGAAATAGCACCTACAAAGGCAAAGGAGTGAAAAACTTGTTCAGAGAGCTACAAGTCATTTCATGTGACCAAAGGGAAGGTTGCACAGGGAATTTGCAAGAGATAATTATACAAGGTACTTCAAAATGTCCGTGGAAAAACGGAACTAATAGATAATACAAATCTTTCCATGAACATTTTGTATACTCCCCCATAAGAATGCCTAATATTTATTGTGTCAGGAATCATTCTAAGCATTCTACATGTATTAATGCACTTAATCCTTAGCACAACCTTAACAAGGAAGGTATGATTATCTCCATTTGGTAAATGAAGAACTTGAGGCACAGAGATACTGATTAACTCTCCCAGGGTTATGCAGCCTGTAAGCAGCTGTGGTAGGACTGGACTCTGGCAGTCTCACTCCAGAGCCCATGGTCTAAACTGTGTGTGTGGCACTACCGCTTCTTAGAGATGACACTAGAGAGGTAGGCAGAACCCAGACCAAGGAGAGCCTTGGAAGCCATCACAAGGATTCTGGATTTTATTCCAGAGCCAATGAGAACTTGGGGAAGGTTTGAGTCAAGTGAAATTAACAGATGTGTGTTTAGGAAAGGTCGTTCCAGGAGGAATACACAGGATGGACTGGGAAGAGGGCTAAGATTGCAGAAAGAATGTCAGAAAGAAAACTAAGGTAATTGCCCCAGAAGAGAGGATGAAAACCTGAACTCGGGAAGTAGCAGTGGGACTGGGAGGAAGTGACAGAGGATGAACTGTTTCTTCACTAGGGACAGAGTCCTTCAATCCACCCTTTCTGACTCATAACCCTGAGGGGTATCTATTTCCACCATTTCTTCCTATTACCCGTGACTATATTCTTCCTCCGCTCTTGTTTCTGTCCTTGGTTCCTATTTTTCAATTGGGCCATCTGATTATCCAGGGACTTAAGTGCAGACAAGTTCACCAGTAGTTGATGATTTTCAACAATGTGAGCTTTCCAATTCCATTTGTATTCTATGAGGATACTTCAAAATGTTCATGGAAAGATTTATATTATTGAAGTACCCTCATACTACAAACAGCTCAGTAGAAGTTTAGTTGGAGACTAAATGAGATAAATAGCTAAGAAAATGCCAAGAAAGAATTTTTACATTTAGTAAGCATAAATTGTCTCTAAATTTGTTTTCCAAAGAAAATCATCCTCTGTAAACAGCTTAAGTCTCAGTATCAATGTGTAAAATATATATTTTAAAAGTCTAAATGAGCGGCTTTTCATTCCCTTCTTAAGAAATACCTACATCAAAAGAGTTCTCAGATAATTTAACAAATAAATGTTAAGGCTGATGTTACTGTGGCCTTGTTTTCCTTTGCTTCTTAGACTTTAAAAAAACACAAGATAATTTTGAATTTTTTAATACTCAGAATCATAGAATATCTTACATTTACATAGAACCAATATTCTTCTTACAGTTATTCTGTCATCTTTGCCGACAGTGAACTGAGTGGCTGGGACTATGATTACGGTTTTTGCTCACCCAAGACACTCCGATGTGCTCCTGAACCAGATGCTTTTAATCCCTGTGAAGATATCATGGGCTATGACTTCCTTAGAGTCCTGATTTGGCTGATCAATATCCTAGCCATCATGGGAAATGTGACTGTCCTCTTTGTTCTCCTGACCAGTCGTTATAAACTGACAGTGCCCCGTTTTCTCATGTGCAATCTCTCCTTTGCAGACTTTTGCATGGGGCTCTATCTGCTGCTCATTGCCTCAGTTGATTCCCAAACCAAAGGCCAGTATTATAACCACGCCATAGATTGGCAGACAGGGAGTGGATGCAGCGCTGCTGGTTTTTTCACTGTATTTGCAAGTGAGCTTTCTGTCTACACCCTCACCGTCATCACTCTAGAAAGATGGCACACCATCACCTATGCTATTCAGCTGGACCAAAAGCTGCGATTGAGACATGCCATCCCGATTATGCTTGGAGGATGGTTCTTCTCTACTCTAATTGCTATGCTGCCCCTTGTGGGTGTCAGCAATTACATGAAGGTCAGCATTTGCCTCCCCATGGATGTGGAAACCACTCTCTCACAAGTCTACATATTAACCATCCTGATACTCAATGTGGTAGCCTTCATCATCATTTGTGCTTGCTACATTAAAATTTATTTTGCAGTTCAAAATCCAGAACTAATGGCTAGCAACAAAGATACAAAGATTGCTAAAAAAATGGCGATCCTCATCTTCACCGATTTCATCTGCATGGCACCTATCTCTTTTTTCGCCATCTCAGCTGCCTTCAAAGTGCCCCTTATCACAGTAACCAACTCTAAAGTTTTACTTGTTCTTTTTTATCCTGTCAATTCTTGTGCCAATCCATTTTTGTATGCGATTTTCACAAAAGCGTTCCGAAGGGATTTCTTTCTGTTGCTGAGCAAATTTGGCTGCTGTAAACGTCGAGCTGAACTTTACAGAAACAAGGATTTTTCAGCTTACACCTCCAACCGCAAAAATGTCTTCAATGGATCAAATAAGCCTTCTCAGTCTATCTTGAAGTTGTCCACATTGCACTGTCAAGATACAGCTGTCCTAGACAAGATTTGCAATGGAAAGTGTTAACTGTTCTATCAGTAACTGCATTATTGAATTGTGCTTATGTCTGTTAAAAAAAAATTACCTGTACCAGTAATTTTAACAAAAAGGGTTGGTTTTAAGAAATTATTTATTCTTAGGCATGCTGGGCAAGAGACCTCTATCTAGCTCAAACTGTGGTCCATGACCAGTACCAGTATGAAAACCATCTGTCATGGGTACCTCATGACAAAATATAGACGTTTGAGAGTGTTTAGAAGTTTTTATAGCAATTTGACACAGTAATTTTGAATCTAATATTGAATCTGTTGAACCTAATATTTTAAAAAATTGAGGCATGGCTTTGATTTTTTTGTGCAGTAATTTTTATTGCATTCTACAAAAATACTCATTCATAATAGACTGAAAATTTAAAATAACTGGTCTTTTTCCTCAGACAGTTTGAGAAACACTCTAGAGATGCACTGTCCTATCTGGTAGCCGCTAGTCACATGTGGCTAACTTAAATAAAAAATAATTTCTCAGTTGCACTAGCCACATTTCAATTTCTCAATAGCCACATTTGACTAGGGATACAGAACATTTTCATCACCGCAGAAAATTCTATTGGCACTGTTCTAGAGACTTTCATCTATCCCCTATCTAGGTTCTATTTACTTAAAATTTAGTGTAAGGTAAACATCTAAAGGAAAATTTTGGCTTATTTGCTTGGTGCAATATTTAGCCTCCAAAGAGCAACAAAACATTAAATTGTAGATTGTAAACTCCTTGTGGGTAGGAACCATCTCTTGGTCCACTTTGTTTCCTTGACTCCTACCTCAGGATCTTGGCAATGGTATATAACAAACATGCTGAAGTATTCTAAAGTTATGAAACTTGTAAGAAAAAGAATTTTTCTAGAGCCTTTAAGTGAATGAAAATATTTAAATATTTAAAAATACTTAAAAATAATTAACTTTCATCATTTGAAAGATACAGAAAAATACATCCAATATTTGCTAGAAAGTATTTTTACTCATTAAAAATGACTCTTCCGGGACAACAAAACTATGGTTTTAATTGCAGTGTTTTTTGTATGCTCCTTTGACTCTTAATTTTTATTGAAAGCTCACTACATGCTGAACTTCTTCATAAATATGTTAGATAATTTAAACCATTTAGTCTTCATAAAACTATGATGTAGATATTCACTTTTGTTTTGGAAATCTGTTTAATGGTTTAGGAATGTGTACACTCTGGCTCTGTTAAGGTTCCATAAAGGCAATTTTTCCATGTTTTAAAAAATAGACTTGATATAAAGATTAATATATTTATAAATAGGTAAAGTGAAAAATTCCCAAATTGGAGAGGAAGACCTATTATAATTTGCTAAAGTGTTCAAAACTAATATAAGATTGAACTAATAGGACTCAAACTCAAAGCTCTGATTCAGGACCCCAGCCTCTTAATCGCTGCATTTTACTGGCTCCTATATTAGTAAATCATAGTCATACAAGGGTTTAATATACACTTGAAGTTCCTTAAATTTTCCCCAAAATTTTATTGTAAACATTTTTAAATGCACAGAAAAGTTGAAAGAACTGTATAGTGAACACCCATATACCACCACTTAGATTCAACAATATTTTACTATATTAGCTTCATCACATATAATTATCTATCCATTATTTATCTATTCATCCATCTTTTTATGCATTTCAGAGGAATCTGCAGACATCAGTACTTTAGCCCTAAATACTTTCAGCATTCTTATTTCTAACCAAGGTCCAATATTTGTTTATATTTTTAGGTAAAACTAAAAATGTGAAATGGACAAGTCTTAAGCATACCATTTAATGAGTTTTTGAGAAATGCATGTGACCCAAACCTCTATCAGGACATAGAACATCACCCTCAAAATGTTCCCTCATACCCCTCCCCACTCAATTCCTCACCCCCACCCCTAGCGGTAGCAATGGTTCTGATTCCCACCCCCCACCCCCAGATTAGCTTTGCCTGTTCTCTATAGAACTTCATATAAATGGAATAGTATAGTATATATTCTTTATGTTTTCATGCAAGGCTTCTTTGGCTCAACATTGTTGACTCAGTGTTTTTGCTATTAATCTATGTTATTGATTGAATCAGTAGTTTATTCCTTTTCATTGCTGATTAGTATTCCACTGTATGAATATAACATTGTTTCCCTTCTACTGATGGATATCTGGGCTACTTCCAGTTTTTAGCTCTCCTTTGACATTTTATTAAATAAATGTATAGACATAACTAGACACTCTACACATCCAGTCTGCTTTCAGTCCTTACATCCTTGTGCAAGGTCATTCAAAACAGGTTATAAAAGATTATAAACTTTACAAAACATCTCTTCTCTAGTATTTTTCACATTTCTGATTTTTCTAGTCTATACCTAGTTATCTTTATTCAGATGCACGCCTCTCTTATATGGTAGTGTTCTAGAGTCTGTTTCAGCAATATGACAGAATGCTAATTAGGCATGTTGCTATATAACTATACAATAAACTGTCTGAGTCATACATAAATCCCAGAACCAAAACAAGCAAGCAGAAAACAAAGAGAAAAACAAAATATATTCTTGTGGAGAAACTTTATGAATTCTTAAATACAGTTCGAGCCCAAGGTACTTGTACAAATACTCCGAAAGTAGCTTTCATGACCTTTTGCACAAATACTGATCTTTATTTTCTACATTATAAGTTTTAACATATGGAGACATATTTTACTGTCTCCTTCATTCTCATACCCATATCCTTTCAGTCACTAAGACCTACCAGTTCTTTATTTTGTATTCCTACTGCCACACTCATTTTCCCCTTACTCCTGTACTACTATATCACCGATTTTTATTCATATCCAGTCTTACCCATGTCCACACTCATACCCACCACCACTGATTAATCTTCCTAAAATCCTATTTCCCCTTATACCTGTACAAAATTCCTGAGCAGCTCATCAGTACCTCTAAACTTAAGTTTTAGCTTCTAGCCTAACATTCAGAACATCAGAATCCACCCTCAAATCTGCCACTTTATCTGCTGCTGTTTTTCTACATGAAATAAACTATTCTAATTACTTTTCCCTAGCCATGCCCTATGTGTCTCCATTCTGGTGCCCTTGCCATTCTTACCATCTTACTCCTTACTTGTCCTCCTTCCTACATCCTTTAAGTTCTCAACACAACTTATCTTCTTTATCAAGTTCTCCTTAATCCACTCGCAAATTCACTACAGTCAAGATGCCTTCTTTATCTTAAATAAAGTACATAAATACTGAATATATTAACCCACGATGGTCTCTTTCAGGAATTCTTTACCTCTTGTCATCTGTCTTTTACCCTGCACTGCTGGGTATTAGTATCTTTACAAGTACATCTCTTATTTCACCTGTGTTATGAATTTCTTTAGTGATACGCTCACCTCTTTTACTTTGTTTCTCCCACTATATCTATCCTAACGTCTTACACATAATAGGTGATTCATAATTTTTAAGCTGATTCTCTTTTATAACTGAAATATAAAACTGGCCTTGTTAAGAAGCATTTCTCATATGAGCTGGTACTATAAAAAGCTTGTGTATTCTTATTCTGTATAACCTCTCATACCTAAATCATAAAAATCAGATGCTCAATGAATTATTTTTTTAATCATGTTTGATGTTATCACTTTATCACTGGTAGGTTGCAAAATGGCTTAAAAAGGTTAATCAATCTGGAATAACTCATCTAAATCTACAAAATAATTTTAAAAGGCATAGTATCTTATCCTCCATTTATAACACTTGCTGTAAAAAGGGCCTGGTTTTAGTTTCCTCAAAAATGTATTATGTCTGCATATAAATTAAGAATCTCTGTCACAAAGATTTCAATAGATGTGTTTGTAATTAATCTTTTCTTCAAAATGTACAATATTTTTATTAATATCATTTGCCCTAAGAATTGTTACCATGGGCTCCCTACTGATAATTCAGCTTTCTAGTTATAAATCACAAAGTTCTCAACTGGCTTAGAGTATATTTACATGAAAACCAACATATTATTAACCTACTAACACTAGTCAAAATAAAATCCCCCACTAAATTCACTGCTTGGCACCCCAGTTAACTGTTGCTATTGCCTCTAAAGTTACCAGTTTTCCCACACAACTTAAATGACTAAAACAGAATTACAATTGGAGTCTTGTTGCTCTACTGGGCTGTACAGATGACTATTTACACATATTTTAGCCTGACTGAGGTGTTCTACACATTGAGAAAAATGGGGAATGAATGTTATAATAAAGTAACTTGGTTAGTCCCAAGAGATTAACTCTTTGCAAACTCAGCAAGATCTTCTTGGCCCACATGGAGAGAAAGAAAGTACAGAAGAAAGAACTGTAGGATGTAAGCATGAGAAAACATTTGAGAAATTCTCAAAGTGTACTGGCATAGGAATACATGACACTTGCACAAGTTTCCTTTAATACAGCAAACTGTAACCTCTATAAGAGATTCTTTCTCCTTCTATAAAAGGGTGTACAATGACATTTGCCAAGATTCTGTTTTTGTAAGAACTTAGAAACTTAGTTTATAGTATTTTATTATAAAATGCAACAGGAAATGTTTACCTTGGACATTGCTGTGGATTGGATGTCCCCCAAATTCATTAAAGTTTGATCCCCACTGTGATAGTGTTAAGAGGGTGGGAAATCCTATTATGGTAATTGAGAGGTGGGGCCTTGAAGAGGTGATTAGATTGTGAGGACCATGCCCTAGTGAATGGATTAATCCATTGATGGTTTAATGGGTGGTCATGGCTGTGATTCTGATGGCTTTGAAAAGAGAATCCATCAGGAGCGCTCTCTCTCTCTCTCTCTCTCTCTCTCTCTCTCTCTCTCTCTCTCTCTCTGCTTCTGCCATTTCCACATGTGATACCCTACATTACTGTAGAGCTACCACCAAGAACAAGGCCCTCACCAGATGTGTTCCTTGGACTTTGGACTTTCCAGTGCCTGAAACTGTAAGCAATAAATATTGTTTCTTTACAAATTACCCAGTTTCAGGTATTTTGTCAGAAGCAACAGAGACGGACTAATAAGACATGATGAAAAGCTCCCTGAAAGTAAAAGTAATATGATAGCAAAGCCAACTCTCAGGTAAACTCCCCTAACTCACAACAGGGCTTAAAAAATAATTTTCTCTTTTAAAATGGACTAAGATTTGTCTCACTCTATCTTTACCAAACAGAATAAAAATATTTTTTAACTATGGGTAGTAAATCAATTTAGTAGGTCAAGACCATCCATTCTTTTTAATGAAGCAGAACAGAATCAAATAGATTATGTAGAAGACCATCATGTGCTAAAGGCAAGCATGATTGCCTGAAACTTTTGTTTAATTTGTGTTACGTGTGTCAATGTGCAAGCAAATATATACTGGATTGTTAAAGTATGTTTCTTAAGTGTATATCCTGGCCAAAAATTTTTGAAAATCACAGGTTTAGACAACTTCAAGAACTAGGATTTGTTTTTTTCTAACATTATCTGAGACTAATGAAAGAGTCCCAGAACTAAAATAATTTGATGATCTTAGTTCTCCCTGTAATCACCACCAAAACTATAGTCAATTATATTAGCATGCAAGGATAAGTATTATTGAGTTTTGTTTTGTTTTGTGGTAGGCCTACTTTTAAATAGATTTTTTGCATTTTAAAATATGAGTGGCATGAAAGCATGCAGAGACAAAAACAGGGACAATCACTCTGAGGATGAAGAGGCAATAGCTGGAGAATCTGGCTAGAGGATGAGCCCATTCTCTAGTACTAACTGAATCCTCATGCAGCTGCAACTTTAGGCCAAAGACAACATTCCACCCATGTTGTCCAAGGCCCAGAAGAGATTTATACAGATTGCAAAAGGATATACCAAGAGCTGAGCCCCTTCAGTAGAATATAACAAGTGCTAAAATAAATTAAACTCTCAAGAGGGGTAGCTTTCCAAAAATAAACGAGGAATTTGTCCTGTGCCTTGTCAGATTCAGTTATCTAATCCTTAAGGAAC